ATATACATTCATAGAAGCCCACTGGTGAGTCCGATAACTTAAAAGTGATCATATTCCAGTGGTGCCACCAATTAAACACTAAACCACACCTAACATTTATGAATATTTCAATGACTATTGCACAGGATAATATTTAGAGCAAGGCATGCCACTCCGGAAGCTGGAGATATGTTACAACTCATGAGAATAGTTTTTTCATAGCCCACCAGGTCATATAAAAAATGCTATATACAGACCCAATTTACCATAAAAGCTCACATACAACCGTAAACCAACATATTGACATATTCAAACAACTTAAATTTAAGCAGCGACCCATCCAAAAGTAACATGGATTGAGAGAATTACTTGCAAGGAAAATCATGCACTATGAAAAAGACTGAAATATACAAGGCACATAAATTAAACAATATTAATCATTTAACTCCCACTAAGGCCACAATACTAAAACACCAAAAAGAACAAAAATTGCAAAAAGATCCCGTTACGAGACAAAGCAAAACGTAGGTATATAAGAAACCAAGAACATGAGTAGCAGCATCACCATTTCACCATAACACATAAACTGGGATCACTCTTGCAACAATTTCGAAATGGAAATATGAAGTCAGTAATCCACAAAGTTAAAAGGATCACTCACTATTTTTTTTGAAAAAAAAACCACCATCTACAACTTTAGTGTAAACATGACGACACAAAACATTTAAAACCCAACACAATTCAAATAACTACTGAGGATAGATACAGGATAAAAATATGAAGAAATTCGAACTATCAAAACAATTTTTGGATGCAAATGATTCAAACTGAACTACTATAACACAAACCAAGATGACCCTATTTAGAAAAATAATAGGGTCATCATTACTAGGTAAAATCACTCTGGAATTTGACATGCAACTCAACATAAATTCATTGTTTTCTGAACTTAAAAAACTTGGATTTTTCAAACTTTTAAGTTTTTTTTTTCAGTTTGATGGAAGGTTTGTGTGAGGCAATTACACGGCGGACCAGAGAGAGAGAAACAGTGATCAAGATGTCTATGGAAACATATTATTGCAGATAAACCAAAGAATGTGAATCTTACCAATTAAATTTAAACTCAATGCATAAAATGCTTTGTAAGCTGCTCCCAAAATCACTTGAATATACAAAAATCCAGAAAACAGTTATTTTGCAGATCGTTAGTGGTTCGTAATTGTCCTGATCAAACAGAAAATTGGTGTACGTCTACAGGAAAATACATGATTAAGATTTAAACAGTGGGATCGAATTTCCAACGGTTAGGTTAAGTTGAGAGTATTTAACGCAGCTGAAAATGGTGTTCTTTTCATCAAAATGGCCAATATGTGCAGTTGTGCTTTAAGTTAAGCACAAGAAGTAAGGCTCTGACCGGTTGTAACAATTACTCATTTTAATTACATGATTGATTTATACTTCCCAACTTTGATCTTACTCTCTATCTAAAAAAAGAAGAGCAAAATCCGGTTCAGCAAACAAGACATGAGGGGATTCTTTTCAAAAGCTATTCAAACCTCAAAATCCCACCTGTGAATACTGAAATGAGAGATTGTGATTAAAGAATCAAAGAGAGAACACTCTGGAGAATTAAAACCTCAAATTCCTTCATTAGGACACTAAAACTCACTGAAAGAAAATATAACATTTTAACTGAAGATTAACTAAAACCGTATTTCATACCATTCAGTAATAAACCAACCAGAACAACCAATTGATAGATACAATACTCACAAATTACGAAGCTAGCTTACATAGATCACAAAAGGAAAACACCAAATAACGACTCCAAGAAGTACTATTTTCGAGCTGCCCATTAGAAGACATGTCAACTTCAATGGATAGAAATAATCTATTCCTTCTAAAGACTCAATGTATGAGATAGGTTATTCCAAAGCTCCATTTCTCTTACACATAATTGGAAATTTTGAAGTTTTTACATTGATAATCATTTTTTAATAGAGGATTGATATATTACACAAAAATGGCGGGCTGGTGTAGCATTCCTCGGAATCCATTTTACATAATACATCAAACCGACTAATTTCCAAACTTCCTCATATTCTTTTTTTTTTTTTTTTTTTTTTAACTTCCTCATATTTATTGGGTTTTCTTGAAAAAAATAGCCATCAAAGATCTATAAGATGAAACAAAAAAAATGTTAAAACCCACATAACAGTCCTTCCAAGTCCAAAACATAATATACACCAAGTAACACTCCAATTTCAAGTTAAAAATCCCAAAAAAAACATTTCATATCTACTCTATTAAAATAGAGTCATTCTTTTTATCTACTGATACAAGTTGTCATTTAAATTTGGACCCTTTCTAGAATGTTACAAATAATATAAGTCATATAATTGATTGAACCGTATTACTTAAATTAAACCAACACAATTAATGTAAAGAGACGACCTTAATGTAAACTACCTTCAAAATACGGCAGGTATCTATGTGTATACCGAAAACACATATTTTTTCCTACAAATATGGAATGTACTAAAAGAATATATATCATCAAAAATATGGAATATGGAAATCTACTAATTATACTTAAATTAAACCAGTGGTTATTTATGAAATATAGTCTAGGGCTTACTTTTATTTTTTGAACAAATTATATAGTTTGGTTTTTGGGCTTAGTATTAAGAAAAAAACTCCAAAAACATTGAATAAAATTTTCACCTTAAAAGATCAAAATATCAATTATTATTTTCAGACCCAAAAGGTATTTAATATTTTTAACAAAACAAAATTATCTATTATTAATCATTTATTTAAATCATGTACTTTAAAACATGTTAATATATTTTTTTATTTTAAATAACAATCACTTTGTTTTGATAAATTTCAATGGTAACTTTTAAATAATTTATTGTTTTATTTTTCTTAAATAATTTACTGATTAAAAATGTAAAGCAAAACCAAAACCCAAATCTAAAAACTAGAATCCAAAACCAAAAGCTGAAAACACATGTTATATTTTTTCGCTTTGTTTATGTACAAAATAAACTATTTCATTTTTTTTAATTTGTTATCATTTTTTCAATTTTAAATTAGATGTTCGATTATTTGAGATTTGTTTGTTGGTAATATTAGTTCAAACTAACTTAGCGGGTTTAAAAATTAAAAACCCAAACCAAAAACTGAAAACGAAAAGTAGAAACTTAAAAAATAAATACCAAAAACCAAAATCTAAAAATAAAAACTGAAACTAAAAAACTCATGAAAAACAATATCACCACAAATTTTGGTGAATTGATTTTATATCAAAATATTCTTTAAATTAAGACAAAACCCAATTATATAAATTTTTAATCATAAAAAATTTCAAACGCGGGTCAACATCTAGTAAACTTTATAATATAGATATAGCCATCATGAACAAAAAAAACTAAATCAGACCACATATAATGCCTCTTCCAATCAAAGCATCCACCTAGAGCATAATTTAGAACATAAATCAGTGTCGTAGATATCAAATCCCATCGCAATCTTGACATACAAATTACAAAAATAAGACTAACAAGAAAATCATATTCCGCGCATAGCACTAAACATTCACGTGTAATATGGCAATTATCACATAAATAATATGACAACTAGGTTAATACCCGCGCATTTGCGCGAGATGAGAATTATATATATAAATTATTTTATGTCTTATTCTTTATTTTGTGTTCTTTTATATATTATAAAGTAAAAATATATATATTGAGTAATTGAATGTAACTATTATATATACAATTAGTTTAGCGAACACTTAAATAAAATAATCATATTTGTTTATTTACAATCACTTTATATTGTTAGATCTAATTAATAAATGATGTTAACACACACACACACACACATATATATATATATATATATATATATATATATATACTTTATTTTCTATATACAATAAATGAAGCTTCACACTTACATGGTTTTATGATAATTTTTATATTTTTATAATATTTTTTTAAAATATTGATAACATCATTTTTAATGTGAGAGATTTAATGTTAACAGTAATTTATCATCGTTTAAAATAAAAAAAATTCAAAATTTATCATTAAAATATTAAGTTCTCAATACTTGTTCAATTCAATTTTGGAATTAATATTTATGTATTTTTAAATGGTATTTAGTTTAATTTAAAATCACTAAATATATATATATATATATATATATCTAATTTAAATATCTATTAAATGATATTTCTTACTTAATTATAGAATTGTTTATATCGTGCTATACCAAAAAAAAGTTTAAACTTTTAATCAAAAATATTATATGTGAAACTTTAAATTTTTATTAATTTATAGTCGTTTTCAAAATTTAAATATAACATATAGAAGAAATCTAATTTTTTTTTTGTTATATGGTTAATGTTATTGTTTAATTTATTTTCACAACATAAATTTAACAAAAAGAGTTGAGGCTCTACAATTTTTCATCAAAACTTTCATATTCAAATCATTATATATATATTATAACCATATTAGGTAATTCCGTAAATTTTATCAAAAGAAATAATGATTAGCATTAATAATAATTTTATGCTTAGTTTAATAAAAAGTATATTGTATGTTTATATGGACAAACATTTTTCTCTAATAAATTTGAAAAACATTCTCATGATAACATGTAGCTACCAAAACATGTTGTAGTGCTTCTCAATTAATATATATGAGATTATTACAAAAATATCATAATCTAAGAATTGTTATGTATATTAATTTAATTTTGGTGTTTGTTATTATTTATTACATCTTTTTATAAAAATATTAATAATAAATAAGTTTACAGTTTCTAAAATAAGTAGTCAAATAACTGGATAAACAAATACATAAATTTTTTTAATAAAAATACATGAAAATTAATTTTAATTTCAGAATAGTTAAACATTTTAAATATTTTTATTATATGTGTTTATTTATTAATCCGTCGGTAGAAGGGCCTATCCTAATGTTTTCATAAAATGTCTGTACCCACAAAATTGCAGTCAATTAAAAACATTATCATCCACACATGAAGACCTCACCGACGTTTCTCCTCCAACCACTCTGTTAAAGCACTCTAACACAAACACACATTTTCCTTTCCTTCCGCACCAAACTCTCCCCCAGTAAAAAAAGAATCTGAAATCCAGCTTCCTCAGATGCGTAAACCCTAGCCTTCCCACCCAGCATCTGAGAAATGACGACGGTTCCAATGGATATCGTCAACGACCTCTTCCTCCGTCTCCCAGCAAAGACCCTGGTCCGCTTCCAAGCCCTCTCCAAGCCCTGTTACCACCTAATCAACAGCCCCGACTTCATCTCCTCCCATCTCACCCGCGTCCTCAAGACCAACGACCACCTCATGATCCTCCTCCGCGGCGCTCTCCATCTCTACTCTGTAGATCTCGATTCCCTAGACACCGTCTCCGACGTCGACCACCCGATGAAACGCGGCGGTCCGACCGAAGTCTTCGGTTCCTGCAACGGTTTAATCGGGTTATCGAATTCCCCAACCGATTTAGCCATCTTTAACCCCTCTACTCGTCAGATCCACCGGATACCTCCTTCTCCAGTGGATCTCCCCGAGGGTTCGAGTACACGTGGCTACGTGTTTTACGGGTTAGGGTACGATTCTGTTAACGATGATTATAAAGTTGTGAGGATGGTTCAGTTTAAGCGTGACTCGGATGATGAAATCGGTTGTAGTTTCCCTTACGAGGTTAAAGTTTTCAGCTTTAAGATGAATTCGTGGAAGAGGATCGAATCTGTTTTACCTCCGGTTCAGCTCTTGTTTTACTTTTATTACCATTTGCTCTATCGTCGTGGCTATGGTGTTCTTGCTGGTAATAGTCTTCACTGGGTTTTACCTCGAAGGCCTGGTTTGATTGCGTTTAACATCATCGTGAGGTTCGATCTCGCCTTGGAGGTTTTCGACATTGTGAGGTTTCCGGAGGCTATTGCCAACGGTGATGTTGATATTCAGATGGATATTGGGGTTTTAGATGGGTGTCTTTGTTTGATGTGTAACTATGATCAGAAGTATGTTGATGTTTGGATGATGAAGGAGTATAATGTGAGAGGTTCTTGGTGTAAGGCTTTCACGGTTCAGAAACCCAAAAGTGTGAAAATGTTTGCCTTTATGAGACCTTTGGTTTATTCCAAGGATAGGGGTAAGGTTCTTTTGGAGATTAATAACACGAAGCTGGTGTGGTTTGATCTTGAGACTAGGAAGCTTACTACTCTTAGGATTAAGGATTGTCCTAGCTCGTATAGCGCGGAACTCGTTGTGAGTAGCCTTGTTTTGGGATGTAAAGGAGATATTGATAACATTAAGCATAGGAAAGAACAACGAGATAAAGAAGCTAGAGAAGCCAAAATTATGCAAAACAGTAAAAAGAGGTGAGGGGTTCGCTTGTTCTTTTCTATGATATGATACGAGGGACTTTGTATTGGTATGCTCAGTATCTTCTATTGTTGTTCATCTCAGGGATGATTTCCTGTCCAAGGGATTCAAACTGGTCTTATAAGCAAAAGCAAGAGAAGGTAAGTGTCATTGTTATTGTTAATGGTATATTCTCTTTTTTTTTTCATAACCGGGTGGACACAAGAGTTACAGACACAGTGTGTCATAGGTATTGATTGCTAAGAACATTCCCAAAAAAGTGTTAGCAACATAACTTCTGTATGGCATATCAAAGTTTTTATTGTGATTGTTTTCTATCACCGTTACAAGGATTTGGATTTTCAGGGCGGGGAAAATGGGAAGCTATGAATTGCACAGGAGATATTAGTAATCAACAACTTAACAATAGCGTGTACCAAAAAGGCTTGGTAATAAACAATCTTAACAATAGTGTATATCAGAAATGAGAAGCTACTGCAGTATGGGAAGTGTACTAGGATCTAAGATATGTAACTTAATGCAAGTGTTGTTGCTTTCTGTAAATGGAGTGAAATCATAAAATCTCTATGTAACTCTTTTCAAAGTTTGTTTTGACTTACGGAGGATGCATTAGTTAAGATGTGAAAAAGCTTTCATACACACAAAAGTGTTATCAACAACTTACAGAAAGAGTAGCTTTTAAAATCGAATTCAGAAATGCTTGAATGTAACTTGTATGCATATTTAAAAATTTCTTCCTGAAAGACTGTCATTTCTAAATTTGATTATGTGCATATTTAGCAAATATTATTCAATATATAATATCCTCGATAGTTTACGAGAACACTTTTAAATATGTGTAATATATTTATAAAATTTTGATATCAAATTTATAAAAGACTTTCGAAAATTTTAGAAAAGCGTTATGCATATTGAAGAATACCTTATTAAATAAATATATATACATATATTTTAAATTCAATAAATATTCATAAATATATATACATAAATGTCTTCTTAAATACACGTTTAAAAATATATTCTAAATACATATTTATAAAAGATTTTCTAAAATTAAGAAGATAATAGATATTTATCAATATCTATTTTAATAAAGTATTATATTTATCAGGAATGTAGTTCTTAAACTCATATTTAGAAAGATATTCTACGCATTCATAAAGTGTGTTATCTTATGATAAAAAAGTCCTAGAATTATCCTAGAATGTTTTTCTAAAATTTACAATGTCTAAAAATAATTATAGTAGTTGGAAAAATATATATTATTATTAGGGTTTATTTGTCAAATAACCAAAAAAAGTTAGATTTGTGGAGAGAGAGTAGAGAGATAAGAGAAAATAGGAGATTAGAGGTTTTTGGTAAATTATAATTTTTTATTTTTTATATATTTGACCTAATTTCTCTTATTATTAACAAATAGTAAAAGATTTACACCTGGTTAAAAAAAACAGTAAAAAAGACCGAAACTCTCTTTTGTGTTTTTTTTTGGCTTCCTTGTCGGATTAAACGAAGAATCGTTTTTATACCCAATTAAAAACAATCTAATCTAATCAGGAGATTTTCTTCTTAAAACATTATTATTTTAATAATCAAAAAGTTCTGTCTGTATACTAGAGAAAATGAAATGACGGCTTCTTCTCTGTCTCTTCCGCTTCCTCCTCCTTCTCGCTTCTACACATTATGACATTAACGGAGTTATTTTCCGTTTAATGACTCCCCGTTCCTCACTCTCTCACCGATCATCTTCCTCCGACAGTCACAAACGGAAACTGAACTGCAACGGCCTCGAGGATCTCCTCCACAAGATGAAGAAACACGAGGTCAGCGCCGAGTCATCGAATCGTCCCGAGTCGACTCAGCTGCAGGTCTTCGTGAGGATGATGTCTGGAGGGAAAACGATAGTGATCCACGGGGACAAGAAGGACACAGTGGAGCAGCTCCACCACAGAATCGAGCTAAAGACCAAGATTCCAGCAAAGGAGCAGCGTGTTGTCTACAAAGGCAAGCAGCTACAGCTTGAACACTCCTTGAGCTACTACTCCATCGAGCAAGACTCCTCCCTTCACCTCCTTGGACGTATGCAAAGCACGGAGCATCCCGTGGCTTGGCAAACCGTTAATGATGTCATGTACGAAGTCTCTCGGATGCTCAGGGGAGATTGGTTTGTCTCCGTTGAAAGCATCAACGAGATCCTCGTCACGTTTTTCGACATGATGCCTAAGAAAGAGACAGGTGAGTATCTCAAGATTTTCTTGAACTCTTCGGTTCCAGCTGCTCTTGTGATGCTCTTTGCTTCTCCTTTAGAGATCAACAAATCGTGTGGGAAGAGTTCTATTAAGCTCTTCTTTGATAGTTGTATAGACTTGCCTGATAATCAGCAGAGATGTTGTTTACCTGTCTTGTTAGAGTTCTTTAGATTGCTTAGGAGGGTTTGTCCTCGTAACAAGCTTTACGTGTCTTGTCGGAATACCTTGGGATCTGTGCTGGAATTGGTTTATAGCTCTGGTGAGTCTCGTAGTAGCTTGTTGGCTATTGGGGATGAAATCTTCCCGTGTTTAAGCGAGTTAGTTAAACTTCTGGTGAAACAGTTAGTGGATGATGATGATAACTCAGGGCCTAGTTCATGTGACGTTCAGAAACTCTCTTCCTTCTGGCAACCTTTGAGGTATTCAATACAAAACCAAGCTGAACCTTTCACTCTCATTGCTTTGCCTCTGCAAAACAATGTATTGGGGAAGCTTTATCACATCTTCGGAAAGTTGTTGAATGCAATGGGGAAAGGTATGTTAAGACTTGAATCCTTGTTGGCGAGAAGAGGAGCTGTGGCTGCAAAGTGTTCTCAGTATCTTGCTATACTGAAGATTGTTAGTTCAATGTCTGAGCTCTATCAAGGTGGTAAGGAACGGGTAGGTATGCTTTTGAGTAGCAGGAAGGCTTCATTCTGCGCCCTTGTTTTGAAATTCGTGAAAAGAGGGGATGATGATGATGATCACCAATGGATCTTTAAGTATAAGGAAGCTACAACCTTTGAATCTAGGAGGCATTTGGCAATGCTGTTGTTTCTGGAGGTGGAAGAAGAAGAAGAAGACTATGAGGAGATGCACGAAATGCTCATTGATCGGTCCAATTTGTTAGCTGAGTCATTTGAGTATATAACGGAAGCAAGCTCAGAGGAACTTCATGGTGGTCTGTTTATGGAATTCAAGAATGAGGAAGCTACTGGTCCTGGTGTTCTAAGGGAATGGTTTTATTTGGTATGTCAGGAGATATTTAATCCGCAAAATACCCTCTTCACTCCATCTGCTGACGATTTCAGAAGATTCTCTCCAAATCCAGGTTAGCTTTCTCAACATACCTAGTATGCCAGTATGGCATATGATTTAATCTGATTCTTGGAGTATACACTTGAAATTTAAAAATATTGTTCTTCTATCATCTTAGACTTGCATGTCACACTTTGTTCTCCAATGATATTAAAGTTTTGTCTTACATTCAGCATCCAAGGTGGATCCATTGCATCTGGATTACTTCGAGTTCACTGGTCGTGTGATTGCTTTAGCTTTGATGCACAAAGTTCAAGTTGGGGTGCTATTCGACCGTGTTTTCTTCCTGCAGTTGACGGGAAAGAAAATTGGTTTGGAAGATATAAAGGACACGGATCGAATCATGTACAACAGCTGCAAACAGATTCTAGAGATGGATCCAGAGTGTTTCGATTTAGACGCACGTCTTGGTCTAACATTTGTGTCTGAAACCGAGGTGCTGGGAAAAAGAGAAACAAAAGAGCTGCTTAAAGACGGAAAGTCTATTGCCGTTAACAGCAAGAACAGGGAACAATACGTTAATCTACTAATCAAACATCGATTCGCCACATCAGTCTCTGAGCAAGTAAATCAGTTTTCTCACGGCTTCTCGGATATCCTTGCAGATACTGCACGGTTTTTCAAGAGATTATACGTTGAGGATTTTGATTGCATCCTTGGAGGAGGAGATAACCTGATAAGTATAGATGATTGGAAGGCGCATACAGAGTACAATGGATTCAAAAAGACTGACCGCCAAATAACCTGGTTCTGGAAGGTTATAGCGTAAAATCCTCAACGTTTTTAATAGCTTTGGAGCTGAGTTTTTTGAATCTCTTTTTTTTTGTGTGTGTGTGTGTGTAGATTCTGAAGAAAATGACAGAGGAAGAAAGGAGGAGTGTACTCTTCTTTTGGACATCGACTAGGTTTATACCAGTGGAAGGGTTTAGAGGGTTATCATCAAAGCTTTATATCTACAGATTACATGAAGGTAAGGATCATCTTCCAACGTCTCACACTTGCTTTTACCGTCTCTGTTTACCAAAATACCCCAAGATTGCTCTCATGGAACAACGACTTCGACTCATTGCTCAAGATCATGTCAGCTCCAGTTTCGGTCAATGGTGAGTATTTATCAAAGAATGTAATATATCTCTCCATCTGTTCTCTAGGTTGGTAAATTGGTGCTTTTGTTGTATATATTAAGCTGTAGTCAAGCTCTGTTTATGACCGGGAGGAAAAGGTTAAACCTCTCTTAATTACTGTTTCTGTAACTGATGAAAAGGAGAAGAATCAACTTTTGAATAGACCGATTTAACTCATCAGGGCATCTCCAACCTAACTTCATTTTTTACTCTAAAATGGAGTAAAAGAGAATATGGAGTAGAAAACACTCCAACCCTACTCCATATTTTACTCCATAATAGAGTTTACTCCATAAATGTAGTAATCTGTTTTTTATTTGTTTATCACTCTATTATGGAGGGGAAAATGGAATGGGGTTGGAGCATTTTTACTCCATATTCTTTTTTACTCCATTTTGGAGGAAAAAATGGAGTTTTACATTAGAGATGCTCTTAATACATCTCAACTATCTTCATGATAGGCAGGAATTAGAAAGAAAAACCCATAATATCATTATATTAAACAAAGAGTCAGTAATTATACTAGCACCTTAACTGATGTCAAAAAAAAAAGAAAAAACTAGCACCTTAACTGTCTTATTATTATGTGATACTCCTCAATCACCTTATATCTCGCAAGATAATAGGGATTTAACAAAAACAAAGAAAAAAGAACAAGAAATGTTCCCTTGGGTTCAATAGGAAGCTTATTACGCTGTCTTGACTTCAAGAGTCTTCTCCTCTTGTGCCGCCGGCTTGACAGCTTTCTCTTCCACAGCTGCCGGAATTTCAACCGGTTTCTCCTCTTTAACCGGAACTGTCTCGTTTTTTTCTGTCTCTTTCTCTACCTTTGGTACTTCTTCTTCTTTTATTTCCACTTCAACCGCAGTAACTGAGTCATCTGTCGTGTGAACGGTTTCCTTAGGCATCTCGGTCATCGTCTTCTCTTCTGTGTTTGGTACTGTTTTCTCAACCTGCAGTATTAAAATTGATAGAGGTCACACATAATTCATGATCAGCAAGGTTGGCCCTAAGCTAAAGCTCATGCTTTAGACGTCCAAATACTTAGGACAAACCTGGTGATCAGCCTGTATACATGATATGTTATTGATCAACAACTAATATTGTGATGGACTCTTTACAAATTCTATATTGAGCTTTCAAGAAAATGAAAAACAAGGAAGATTACCTCAACACCAGCCATTTGGGTACTGAAAAAGAATAATATGAACAATATAGAAAGAAGTTTGTAATGTATTTAGGGAATGAGGAAGAGTTGTGGGTTTAAGTGAAGAGAATGAGGCTATTTATAGAAGAGAGCTTCCAAGAAAAAAACATGAAATTAAAAAAGTGATGAGCATATTTGATTGATTATGCCTGACGCGTTAGACACCAGTGACGCAAAATTGGTGATGTTCTTACCTAAACTATATTATGATGCTTGTGTTTAAAAAAAAAAATGTTATGATGCCTAAAGTGTGTTTATGTGTTGCGTGGAGAACACATCAAATGTAACCCGTCTTAATCTTTAACATCTTTATTAATAATCAATTGTTGTGTCAAACATCACATTTGATCAATACAAGATTATCCACATGGCATACAAGATAGCTTCTGCATTAGGGAAAGTTGGTTAACTACTTGGTGGTGTGGTAGTACACTTGGGGACATATGTATTGATCACACTCATCCGTCACTATTTTGTTTTCCTTTTCAGCTTTCACTGATTCTATTTCTCTCTACTTTTCAAGTTCAATTCTCACGTCACCTCTTTTATTATCTTTTATACCCTCTTAGTTCTTTCAACCATTGCTTCCTATGTTCCAATCCAATGTGTGTTTCTTGATATTCAAACAAATCTTTACACCAACAACGAATCATTCGATTCTTTTCTTCCTTAGCATATGTTTATTGGAGGATTCTTAGTATAAAATTCTTAGCGGAATGTATAAGAGTCAGTTCTTAACTTTTTAAGTTAAAAATTAAGGGACGGGTTCTTATATTCTACTAATCCCCAATAAACATGTTCTTAGTATTTTACGACCGAGCCTTTTGTTATTCCCTTACCAAAAGAAAAAAAATATATATATATATATATATATATATATATGTATATATACAGTCTTGTTAACATTTGACTGGTAATACTTGGAACAACAGCGAATAGTCAAAAAGATACAATCTATCGAATACACTAAAACATTTATTATTACTTTTTTGGATAAACCAGAAATTCATAGAGTTAGCACGTAGTGTTTGTTGCTCTCATCAATAACGATCTATGTCAGTTATGTACACCAATTTGGTTTATTAAACCATTCTAGGTGTCATTATTATTGTTGGTTAAAAGAAAACATAGAGTAAAATTTGTAATGCTTTCACTGAATTTGCAATAAACCGAAGCATTCCGAATTTGTAATAGACGATATATCCAATCAAACCAAAATTATACAGGATATATATCGTATATCTGGAGAATATTTTTTTATCAGAGCACTGTTATAACAAAAAAAAACAACAGAATCTATCAGCTGAAACAGAAAATTAGTGTTTACACTAATCCGAAAATGTACGTCTGATCAACCCAATATATTTCTCCAGTTTCACACAATCAGTACATAGAATCACGAAAGATTTAAGCTTTCTCAAATCAGACTCTAGGACAAGTGAAAGAGCAAATCATTCAGAGAACCATACCTAGCCCTTTAGAATAATCTCGGTTTTCTAATGTTCGGTTTATCAGTTCATAATCTGCTAGAGTTTCGGTTTGGATTCAACTCGATTTCCTTGAAATTATGATACAATTTGGGTGATTCAGTTCAATTTTCAATTAGATCTAGTTTCCATTTTATTTCTAGTAGGCATGGGCATTCAGGGTTCCAATAGGTTTTAGGTTTTGTCCAATTGGGTTTCGATTTTTTTGGCTTATTAAAATCAATCCATTCGAATTATATGGAAGTTCGGTTCGGGATGGTTCAGGTTCAATTGGGTCAGGATTAGTAAATCTTTAAAGAACCACTATAACTCGATATAATTTTGGATTTGGGTCCCAATCGGTTCTTTAGTTTATAAGTACCTGATTTTTACTTACTTTGTACCTAAAACATAAGTAAAATTGGTTTTTCGAATTTAAAGTACCTGACTTGTACATATTTGTAATCAAAACATAAATAAAATCAATTCAAAAATAAAAAAGATCATCAAACGTGATCATTCAAAATCAAACGAACGGTAAACATAGTTATTGATAGAAAGAAAACCAAATAAATGAAAGCATAAAACAAAAATCAAGTTCTCATGAAATGAGAAACATTATTCAATGAAACAAAACTAAAATCTAAAAATTTCAATATTCAACCGCCACATTCAACCATCAACCTAGTGTATTTTGGATAGATATTAGAAATTGAAACCATGTTTGGTACAAGTTTTTCAATAGGACTTTGAATATTCCAGATTTTATCGGATATCAATTTAACTTTGAGTTCGGTTCAAATAATATCTATAACCTGAAATACCATAAAACAAGATCCATTCGGTATTTATATCAGCTTCTGATCGGTTCAGATTCATTTTTATCGGATCGGGTTTGGTTTTAGTTTATAATTTGCTATAGTTTCGGTTCACTACAAGAAAACATTTTTTTACAAGGGCTGTATTTGTTGTTAATTCGTCGTAATAGAACCATTACGACGAATTAACAAGGAAACATGTTTCGTTGTTAAGCGCCTGTCGTAATGGATTTTTCGTCAAAAAGACCACGTAATGTTACAAGGAAGAAATGTCATTGTAAAGGACAAGGACAATACTTTGTCGTAACCTCAACGTTAACATTCGTCGTAAACTCCACGTTCCCTTTCCACGTAATTGACTCGTAAATATTCGATGTTAACTTCATATAAATGTACGAGGAAATTACTAGTATCACATGTAAAGTCGTAGTAAATATTACGACGATCTTACTAGGAATTCGATGTTAAGTCGTTGTAAAATTTACGAGGAATTTACTTGGTATGTATATATAATTTATAACTTTTAAAAAGTTTTCTATATTTTTATTTATAAAATTCGTAATTTAAAATATAAAACCAAAATTTTAAAATTTAAATTGTTTAAAAAGCATTATATAAAAAGTCATAAAATAAAATATAAATTTATAATACAAAAGCAAACAAAATATAAAAAAAGTACGGCATGTTGTTGCGGAGGTACTCGTCAGGACGGGTGAGTTCCGGGCCGGGTCGACCGGTTGACTCGAGAGGATGTTTTTGCATTCCGAGAGCCGCTCGTCTTTCACTTAGCGCTCTCTACATAATCGGGTTCCCGGCGGCCATGATGTCCAACAAATCTTCAAGTGAGTCCAAACGCTCCTGCTGGGAGTCTATGTGAGCCCGCATCTGAGAAGTTTCTTCATCCCGTCTTGAAGTGTATGAAGAAGTTGCCCTTGAGACTTCGTTAATGGAACCTATTCCCACTGTCCGTCCTTTCTTTCTAGGAGTCACCTTGTTTCAAAACTTAGTTATATAATACATTAATATTCAGTTATATTAATTATATATATAATAGAATTAATATAAACAAATTAAAATTTATTCAAAAATTTTACCTCTTCGAAAATCCGATCGACTTCTTCTGTAGTCAATGTGACGGGTGACCCATCGGGAGCCTGCTGGGTTAGTTGTGTCTGCCGCTCCTCAACCCGAGAAACCACATCGTTATAGAGTTTCTCGGACCGTGGATCCACAAAAACTCCATCTGGTGTGGCGTGAGTCATCTTGAATAGCTCAGTCAGAGATGGCATGACTCCAGTCTTCTCGGCCTACAAACAAAAAAACTTAATTTGTTTTAATTACTTAATTAATAAATAAAATTAAAAAAATAAATATTATAAATAAAACTTACAACATCTAGACGAATCTTGGCGTGAGACTTTTGGCTTGTTCTATGAAGCATGGGTTCATTGCCGTACTTATCCTTCATTCTTCGGGAAGAAGAGCACGAGTTGGACTTTTTGACGGAGGCATGTAGGCTCCAATAGCGGATGAGACCATTCCATACAAAGTTTGAGATCTCCTTGGGATTCTCTTCATAACCGTAGAGTTCCCATTTGTCAATCCGAGACGGTGTTGCAAAGACGAGTCTTGGATTTTGCTACAAAAGCCTCCTTCACCTTCTTGTTGATCGATAATGACCAGTGCCACTTTTGCTAAAACAATTTAAAAAAAAAAATATTAAGAAAATAATATAAAATTAAATATTAAATATTATAAAAATATTTAACGCATACATTTTAAACCACGTTATCTTCACGTGGTCTGGAGTCATACTCCACTTCGGATGAGCCTCGAGAAAATACTCCTTCATCGTGTCTGAAACACTCCGAGTGACGCGGTTGTTTGCTCCAAACCTGAAAAATAATATCAGCTTTGTTAGAACAAAAAATAAAATAACTTTCGGGACGCTATAATAAAATATTACAATTTCATAACGCGAAACACTATTAATAATTAAATATCAATAGCAAACAAAAAAAGCGCTATGCAATGTACGAGACCTATTATCGCGGGCGAGGTTGGAGCGCTTTCTACAACGCTATGGTAACGTGTGATAGCGCTTTAGTGGTGCTATTAAAATCCTTATTTCTTGTAGTGGAACAAAAAATAAAATAATTAAAAAAAAACTTACCAATAAGTACTCCGTGGACGATCGGGGTCCAGAATATCTAAACCTTCTCGCCTCGGTTGGGCAAGAAGATCCTCCACAGTATATGCAGCATATGGTGAAGTCAGAGGTACCCACAAATCTGGGTGAACCTGATCACCACCTGCGGTAGCGGGAGCTGGAGGTGGAGGCATCTCATTATATGGTATATCATTGGCGGGATAATACGCCGGAGAATCCGGCATATGCTCAGAAGATGACGGTCCGGAAGACGATGTCCCGACACCATCAGTACCAAACAGCTGACTATAAGTAGGAGGTGGTCAAGTTGATCTTGGTATAGGAGCCATCTAAATGAAAAAATAAATGTCATCATCTGGTTATCTTAAAATTATTACCTAAAATAATTAATACGTAACTTAATTACAACTAAACAACCAACTAAACTAACCAACTAAACTATTTACCTAATTAACTAGCTAAACTAAACTAAAAAAAAAAGAGGAGAGAGGAGTTACCTGGAGAGGGAGAGGAGGTTGTGAAGAAAGAACTAGGCGAAGAGCCTCGTATGCGAGTGTTCTTATATAGATAACTATATTCCTCATAAGTTCGTCATAAACTTACAAGGTTTTTACCAGGTCCTTGTTTTTATTACGACGAAGTTATCAGACCCGTCTTTCTATTACGACGAAGTTATTAGGCCCATGTTTTACACGTTACGACAAAGTTACCAGGCCCATGTTTCTATTACGACTAAGTTACCAGGCCCGTGCTTTTTCACATTACAACGAAGTTACCAGGCCCGTGTTTTTTACGTTACGGCGAAGTTACTAGGTCTGTGTTTCTATTACGACAATTTTATTAGGAACTATATGAATCCGCGAAAATCAAATCTCTAAACCCCAAAATTTCTTCTTCTTCTTCTTCTTAAACCCTAAAATTTTAATATTTTTTTTTTAAACCGAAATGAATACTTATTATATTAAACAACATTTGTTACAATAAAATAACAACATTTGGTACATATTTCCAACATTTGGTACATATTTTACATCATTTGGAATCATTTGAGTTCTCATTAACATCAGGAGAATCATCATCGCTACCATCGAACTCGTCTTCACATGTTTCATCCATCAAATCGTCGCGAAGATATTCGTATAAATGGTTATGCGGATCAATAAGAAAAATTTCACCAGTTTGCAGAATATAAGTGTGGGCACTATGCTTATCTTCGTCACTAGACCACCATATTTCTCGCAATCTACCACCAAACCGTCAAATTTGGCAGAAAATGTCAGAAACATTGCTTATTGGATATGTGGGGACGACTCCACCATCATCATATCTTCTAGGAACTCTTTTTTCTTGTACGTACTGTTGGCGCAAAGTAGTATGATGTGAAGTGAGATGTTTCCACATTCAATCTCCCAGCAATTATTGAACCTTTCACCTTTGCAAGATTTTTTGTTTTCCCCTTCAAATGTTTCATGACACGCTTATACGGATACATCCATCCATGGTGAACAGAACCACAAAGCAATGTCTCGTAAGCGAGGTGAACAACAAGATGTTCCATGACGTCAAAAAATGCTGGAGGAAAATTTTTCTATAAGTTGCACAATATGATCGGAATGTTCTCATGAAGTTGTTCGATAATTTCTTCCTTGAATGTACGTGTGCTTAGGTCTCTGAAAATTGCTCCAATGGCTGCATATTGCAAAATTAGTCCAATGAATAATATTTCATAACATATGTATTTATAATATTAACTAATCAACAATATTTACCTGCAAGTGCTTCATGTACATTTGTTGGAAGCAACTCAGCAAAAGCGAATGGAAGTAATCGTTGCATAAACACATGACAGTTATGACTCTTCATTCTGAGAACTTTTGACCTTGTTCAACACATCTTGAGAGATTAGAAACATACCCACCAGGGAACCATCTTGAGAGATTAGAAACATATCCACCAGGGAACTTCTGATGTAACCCAGTTAAACAGAGTCGTCTTTGCTTCTGATGACAATCGGAAGGTAGGAACTGGAATGTTACCATTGATTTTGATATTTAACTCACTTCTTGAGCAAATATCAGTTAAGTCCATCCTTGATTTTTTGCTATCTTTTGTCTTTCCTGTGATGTTTAGTATTGTATTCATGATGTTGTCAAAGAAGTTCTTCTCTATATGCATAACATCGAGGTTGTGGCGTAAAAGAAGATCCTTCCAATAAGGCTGCTGCCAAACTATATTCTTCTTATGCCAATTGTGACTAAACCCCTATCCATCATGCATATTTCCAGGAACATGCCAGTTTCCTCCACGTGGAATAGTTTCTTGAGCTCCGTAGTAATCAATTTTTGCTAGGATATGTTCTCTAGTGAGATATGGAGGAGGACTATCCCTTACAATTTTTTTGTACCTAAACAGTGTCTTATTTCTTCGGTATGGATGGGTAAGGGGAAGAAATCTACGATGACAATCAAACCAATAACTTTTCCTACCATTCTTCAATTGAAAAGCATCTGTTGATCCAAGACAATGTGGACAAGATAACATTCCATGTGTAGTCCATCCAAAAAGCATACCATAAGCAAGAAAATCACTTATCGTCCAAAGCAGAACTGCTCGCATCATAAAATTATTTTTTCATGGAACAATCATACGTCCTCACCCTTTTGACCACAAGTCCTTCAGCTCTTGTATCAATGTTTGAAGAAAAACATCTAGCGATCGCTTTGGATGCTTTGGACCAAGGATTAATATGTTCAAGAATAGAAGTTCTTGTTCCATGCACATCTTCGAAGGCAGGTTGTACGGCATAAGAATGACTGGCTACAAAGAATATTGTCTCCCAGACATTCCAAATGGAATAAATCCATCTCTGCATAATCCAAGATAGACATTTCTAATATTTCTTGTGAAATCTGGGTGTACCTTGTTGAAATGTTTCCAAGCTCTTGCATCTGATGGATGAGCAATCTCGCCATCCCGCTGGACATGTTCAGCATGCCCCACCTCATCGCTCTGGCAGTCCTCTCAGATTGATATAATCTTTTCAGCCTATTTGTAATTGGTAAGTACCACATACTTTGGTACGATATCCTATTCCTTCCACGTCTTTGCGGTTTGAATCGTGGCTTCTTACAAAATCAACACTCTTCTAGCTTCTCATCATCTCTCTAGTAGATCATACAGTTGTCGATGCAAACATCTATCATTTTCGATGGCAACCAAAAACTATAAACCAATTTCTAAATCTCGTAATAAGATTCACCTGACATGTTGTCTTTTGGCAAATAATCTTTAAACAACTCGGCCCATGCATTCATGCAGTTCTCAGGTAAATTATGATCCGTTTTAATATTCATCATCCTAGCTGCTAGAGACAATTTAGAGTGACTTTCTCAACAACCAGTGTAGATCGGTTGATTTGCATCATCTAGCATTTCATAAACTCTTTTGCATCCAAATTAGGTTCTTCAACATTTCCAGTTTCATCAGCTAGTGTTGTAGTAGTTTCTAAAAATGCATCAGTAATCATGTCGTGAACCCTATCATAATCTACCATCTGTTCATCACCCTGATTATATTCGCTATGCAAATTATTTGGTTCACCATTATTACCAACATTCTAAATTTATTATTACTACTACTAGCTTCATTTCCTCCATAACCCTCTTATGTTGAAACAAAATATAGCACTGTGGTGTAAAACCTTTGTGTACTAAATGTTTCCACAAAGTTTAAGTACGGAAAAAATTTGAATTCTTGCATTTCTGGCAAGTACATAACATCTTACCACTTTCATGTGTGAGTGGTGTACATGCTGTCTGGTTCATGAACGTCTCTAGCCCGCTAAGAAATGCATTTGTCACTCTATCGTCGGAATCTTTATGCGTATACATCCAACTCCGCAATTTAAAAATATTTCTTCTATCAGACATATTTTTTTGAGTTGTTTTTGTTTTTTTTTGTGTGTGGTGGTATGAAATGAGAAATGCTCATATATATAGAAAATCCACGAAAATTGGTAGGTGAAAGTTTACAACGTATTTACAAGGAAATATTTACTATGATATTACATGTTCCTAACATATATGTTACAACGTATTTACAATGATTTAAGTTATGTAAACCACACATTAAAGTCGTGTCCACCTACCAATATTCGTCGTAATGCACTTGTAACTTTACGACGACTTTACAACGGAAGTGAAAAAAAAATTTGGATAATTTTTTTCAGGATTTCTTCCAAAAAATTAAAGGGAGTTCACGGTCATCGGAACGGTCTTATCAACTCCTCATATCTATTCATCGACTTCTCGAGAAAAAACTATGAGGAGTTGAGAAGAACTGTTCTGTTGATTGTCCACACCTTTTAATTTCTTGAAAAATCGATACATAAGTCCTCAAATTTTTTTCTTTCATTTTTTTTTTCGTTTTTGTTTGTGGTGTTGTTAGGATTGATTAGGAATGACATATATATAGGAAATTTTCGAGTTAGGTTGGTAAAGATTTAACAATGAATTTACAAGGAAATAATTTACTTGGATTTTACAAGTCCTTTATATATGCTTTACAACCATGTTACAACGAAATTAGTAAGCTTAAGAATACGTTTTCATTTACAATAACGGTTAAACGCTTCGTCGTAATGGGCTTGTAATTTTACTTATGCTTTACGACAAAGCTTCCTTTTTCTATTACACTTGTCGTAAAATAACATATGAGTTACAACGAATGTGTTTTGTTGTAACGTTACTAGTTCTTTACGACAAATTTTACGGCGTGTTTTATTGTAGTGGTTTGACTCGGTTTTACTCAAAACTTGTATAGTTTTTGGTTAATTCTGCTTGGTTTCGGTTAAATCAGGTTTATGTACGGTTTCTCAGTTTGTAATCTGTCATAGTTTTCTGTTTGGTATGAATTTCACTGGGTTTAACTAGAAATTTTGACAATTTTTGGTTAGTTTATATCGGTTTTGGGTGGCTCCGGTTTCTTCTTTTTGGTTTCCAAACCAACTTAGGTGAACTGGGCTGGGCTATGAAATTAAGGTCGATTAGTAAAATGGTGAAAATATAAAAGAGATCTGCTGAAAAACCCTAAATTGTTCCCTTTATAAAACCCTAAATCGCTGCCTCTTATTCCTAACCAATTTAAAACCCTAGCTAGCTCCAACTCTTCTCTCTCAGAACTCGGCGGCAGAGATGACGGTAGAAGCAGTGAATCCTAAGGCGTACCCTTTAGCTGATTCCCAGCTAGCGATAACAATCCTCGATCTTGTTCAGCAAGCTACGAATTACAAACAGCTCAAGAAAGGAGCTAATGAAGCTACCAAGACACTGAACCGTGGGATCTCTGAGTTCGTGGTTATGGCTGCTGATGCTGAGCCTCTCGAGATTCTTCTTCATCTCCCTCTTCTCGCTGAAGATAAGGTATTTGTTTCTTCTTTCTCTTATGAATCTCAATTAATGTTTTCTTGGGCTCTGAAAAATTGGAAGACATGTTAGAAGTCTTTTGGTTGTTTAGTTGGTTTCACTTTTCTGTCTTATTTACATGAAAGATTGTCGAAAGTGTATGCATCTCTTTGTACGCTTTGTGGTTAGATTCGACATACCTTTTAGTTAGAGTCTTGTTTTAAGTATTGAGCTCTTACTATTGTTCTGTCTTTCTCTTTGTATTGTTTTAGAATGTGCCGTATGTGTTTGTGCCATCGAAACAAGCCCTTGGAAGAGCATGTGGAGTTACAAGACCCGTGATTGCTTGTTCGGTTTTATCAAACGAGGCTAGCCAGTTGAAGGCTCAAATTCAGCAGCTCAAGGATGCCATTGAGAAGCTCCTCATCTAAGATTCACGTAGCTTAATGAGTGATGATCTTTATTGTGGGTTGGTGCAAAATGCAGTTTTAGACAAGAATAATTATTTATTTTCCTAGATTTGGTTTGTTGGTTTGATGATTTTGGTCTTTTCTTGAAACATAATGTTGATGTAAGTAGCCAAATGAAGCATTAATAAACACAAATATTTCCCTCCTTCACAACCAAAAATGGTATACAGTTTGGTCAGATGTGACCAAGTTATCGAGTGCGGTTATAAATGAAATTTACTATATGAAATTAATTCAGAGGCAAATCTGTCTATTTACATGAAAGTCTGACAGAAGAACTTGTTGAGAGCAATCATCCAAAGCCTGCATCATCTGTGTCTTCTCGTGGAGAACCTTAGAAACCAAAGGAAAGCTTACTATCCGTTTGTATAGTGTTTTCTTAATCTTATTAAGTCGGTGCAATTGCAGTTTTGAACCAAAAAATTGCTTAAGAACTGTGATTTTGTTGATTGGTTGGTATTATCTTGAACATAATGTAATTTAAGAAGCCAAGTGAAGCATATTGAGAAATCTATCAAATTGCCAATTCATACATCAACTCAAATTATATTTAAATTTTATATGGCAGACATTGACCGTGTCTCTGTTAGTCAAATGTTAATAGAGTCTTACGTGGATTTAACAGATGATGACGTCTCTGTTAGTCAAATGTTAATAGAGTCTTACGTGGATTTAACAGATGATGACGTGGATTTACAAGCCAAAAAAACGTCGTTTTATTTAAAAAATATAGACCGTGTTTCTGTTAGTCAAATGTTAACGAAGTCTTACGTGGATTTAACAAATGATGACGTGGATTTACAAGCTAAAACGACGTCGTTTTATTTTTAAAAAAAATACGACATCGTTTTATTAAAAAAAATCATTTCAATTTGGTTTCAAGGGGGATTTGAACTTCAGTTCTCCACAATAACTCATCTCCTATTCGACCACTCTACCATATATGCATTATTGGTTTAATATATTATATATACATATTTACCATTCATCAGTTCTGGGTTTCCCACAAAAATTCATTGCCATTTGGAGTAAAAGGAGAATATATCCCGGGTTATCCACCATACCCCATCCCCCACTCGACCACTCTGCCATGTATGATTTATTGGTTTAATACATCATATATACATATATTGGATTTAATAAGAATTTATCAAATGTTTTGTAAAAAACAAAACAATTGTTGAAATATTATATTTTAGGAAATTGGAAGTTTCAATTTGTTTATATATTTTAATCCAAATAATTTATATTTGATTTTATAACCTGGTTCGAATCTTCTTCTAAACTAAATAAAAACGATTTTTTTTGTGTGAATCCGGAACCGATGGATCTTAAATATTATATAAGATGTAATTCGTCTTCATTTGGTTTAAAGGAGGATCCGAACCCGGGTTATAAATTAAAATATAAGTTATTTGGATTAAAATATATAAACAAATTAAAATTTCCAATTTTCTAAAATTTAACATTTGAGCAATTCTTTTGTTTTTTATAAAAAAAGTTGAACAATTCTTACCAAACCCAATATATCTATAGATGATGAATTAAACCAATTAAGCATTCATGGCAGAGTGGTCGAGTGGGGGATTGGGTGTTCTTGGGAACCTGGGTTCCATTTCCCTTTTACACCAAATGAAAAAAAAAATTGTGGAAAACTTGGAACCGATGAATGCTATATATATATGATGAATTAAACCAAAGATGCATATCTGACATAGTAGTCGAATAGGGAATGAGTTAATTATGGGAACCCAGGTTCGAATCCCTGTCGAAACCAATCAATGAATAATGTAATGCCAAACCACTGTGACAACCCAATACATTGTTTATATTGTCTATGGTTTAAAATATATATATCTAATAAAAAGAGAAAAAATTCCATAAAAATACCCAATTAAAAATTTTTACAACAAATTTTGAAGGAAAATAAATTAATTATTTTTATTTTAGAAAAAAAATAAATTTAATATTTAAAATTAAAGAAACTTATTTCAAAATTTAAGACTATACAAAATTTATTTACTTTTTTTTCTCAACACAAAATAAAATTAGATTTTTTTTTTTGTAAAATTTAGAGATTTTTAAAATTTCCTTAAAATTTTTTAGTATTTTTCATAAAATAAACAAAGTTTGGGTATTAAAATGGGTACAGTATAAAATTTTGGATATTAAAATGGGAAAAATAATTAATTGGGTATTAAACTGGGTAGTGAAAAAAATCTGAGTATTAAAAAACTTATTGAAATTTAGTTTGGATTTAAACTTTTCTGAAAATATCTTGAGAAAACTATTATTCAAATCTTTTTTTTTTAAGCTAGCTGACTTGTTCGTTTGCGACCCAGAAACCCATGAATGGAAAAAGGAAAAGAACCAAATACAGAGAAATGAATGAGATTTGAGGAAGATTGAATTAAAAAGAGTTACATTTCTTTCAGGAACCCATCGAGCTTTTAAAAGACAGAAGGGAAAATAAATATCAAAATTAAATATTATTCGAAATATATAGTAAATCGTAGAGAAGACAAACAAGGAATAGGTGTGTCACACTGGTCGAATGTTACAAAAGTCCATGAGTCATCCTGGGTTCTAATACCCCTGCAACATATTTGCCACAGATATTTTGTTTTAAATAAATATTATTTAAAATTATAATAGACATAAAAGACAGCTCATCACCACGTAAGCTTCCGTTAATGACATGTCATCATCTATAAATGTTTGACTAACGGAAAATGTCAATGTATAATTTAGCCTAGTTTTATTAGTTCGTGTATGAAATTTAAAATAAATCAATGTTGATGTATGTTTTAGCACATGTCATCAGCTGATGTACTGATCGGGACCGTAACCTTCTGTTGATGTATGAATTGACCAATTTTCTGTAATTATTCCACTCACTTCTTGTACATAAGCCTCAGCCATATACATTCTTAATATGCCTCATGAAGCTATCGTTTATACATGATTCGAATAAGTCACAACCATAGCTTGTTTTTAGGAACACCATGAAATTGGGGTTCCACCAACAGTAAAAACATATTCGTTTGCGATCGAACTTTATATGGATCTGATAAATATCTTATATCTTCAAAACCAACCATACCAAACTCAAAATTTCTAAGATAAATCAATCATATTTTCTGTTTTTTTTTTTCCGGGAAACTCATGTTCGGTTTTGGCAGGAAAACTCGTGTTCCGGTTTTGACGTGAAAATTCGGTTTCTTGGCTTTAGCGGGAAAACTTATTTTCTGATTATGGCAGGAAAATACATATTTCTGGTTTTGGTGAAAAACACGTTTTCTGATTTTTTTTTTCGGGAAAACTTGTTTTTCGATTTTGTGAGAAAACTCGTTTTACGATATTTTTTGGGGGAACTCGTTTTCTGATTTTTTTTGGGAAAACTCATTTTTTGATTTTTCCCATGTTAATATCCCTAGACATATTAATATAGCATGTTTACTATATTTTCTCCACAAACCTTGTAAGAAACCGTTTTTCATACTACAATATCATTTTTTCATTTTAATTATCTAGAGAAAATTATATTTTTTAGATGCTAGAAATGATATCTAGAAATTTCTCACTTTTACGAGTTTTATATAGACTTGATTGGCTCATTTTTGACCAACAATTTCTTCTTATTCTCATACACATAAATAGATGAATGATCCTCACTATATCGCGCCCTTTTTCATTTTATTGCTGACTTTTTTCAACTCCTGAGTGTTCTACTTATTCAATGTTTCTTATTTTCTTATTAAAATGGTATTCTTGTTAGAGATCAGGATTCAAAAAGATGATATACAGTATTGAAGGAGATCCAAACCAATTTGATGCAGCAGAAAGCCTTAAAACGGCGTAATTGAAATCATCTCTGGAAAGAAAATAACACATTGTATCAAACCAACCATAAAAGCTAGAGAATCATAAATCGATAACATTAAAAACCAAATCATCATAATAATAAAACGGCGGAATAAAAACAATAAAATGAAACGGAAACAAGAAAATAAATACTTATTGAAATGATGCGTGGTTTTGTCTTAAACAGAATGTGAGCGTCCACTCTTGAAACCCTAGCGGAACCATGTGTTATTTGTGAACATGAATCAATAAAAAGGACTAGAGGAGAATAATTATTCGAATGGTGAAGGTTACAATTGGTTTGAGAAGGTTACAATTGGTTTCAATTGGTTTAAGAAGATCGTTGGGAATTCTGGACAAAGCAGGTGCAAGTGGGTTGAGTTTTATATATTAAATATTCTGTCCTTGTAAGCCTGATTTGACTTTAAATACATGTTGTAAGCAACCTAAAAAGTCAAGGAAATTGTTTTCCTCAGAATTAAATTCTCTTGTGTAACTCTCTCTCTCCTCTTTTCTCTCTCACGAAAATACTACCTTCTCTCCTCTGTTCTTGTTGTTCTTCCTTCTTCTCAAACAAACCAGTCTCTAAATACTCACATTTTAACATGGTATCAGAGCAACAAGGCTTCTGAACCTACTCTTTACTTCCGCAAAAGCAAAATCTCTGTTCTTACTTCATTTCCTTCCAAGATTCACTCTATTATCCACTGGTCAATAGCAGTGAAAGATGGAGAAAATGAAGCCTATTACCATCCCTGTGACTCTAAAAGGGATTAACTATCTCTTATGGTCCAGATTGGTGAAAACTGCCCTTGGTGGAAGAGGACTTTGGAGTCATGTAGCTTCTGGAGAAGTACCAAAGTCAACCACTGATATCTTGCATATTTGCATTGTTTTACCCATTCATCCATGAGCATTTTCATCATATAGATTAGGATTTAGCCATGTCTAGGTTTCATTTTGCATTCATTGTCCTTATTAGGTGTTGGAATGTGCCATGGAGTGATTTGAGATATTTAGGAGCATTGTGATCAAAAAGGGGCTGAAAGATGAGCATGGATGGAGCCTT